TGAAAAATTCTAATATTTTTCTAAATAATTCGATTCTTTTAAGAAAAATTTTTTTAAATAATTGATTTTTTCGAGGAATTGAAATTAAATTTTTAAGAATAATTACATTTTTTGATCAATTCCTGTAAAATCGTATTAAAAATAATTGAAATCCTGTGATAATTTTAATATGTATGGAAATAATTGAATAGTTGTTAAGAATTTTATTAAAATTTTCAAAAATAATTGAATTCTAGAGAAGAATGTTATTATTTATAAAAATAATTGAATTATTGCGAAAAATTATATTAAAATGTTTAAAAAGAATTGAATTTCAGTAAAAAATTTTGTTATTTTTGAAAATAATTGAATCCCTAAGAAGAATTTTATTTCTTTTGAACAATATTTAATTTTTGCGAAGAATATTATTACTCTTGAAAATAATTGAATTTTTGCAATAATTTGTAACTTTTATAAAATTGAATTTTTTTCGTGTTTTTAACCAAACACCTTCAATAAATTTATTATTTTTGATAATTTTTGAAAAAGTTCTTTAATATTTATAAAAATAATTGAATCTCTGTGAAAATAAATTGAATATTTTTGAAAATAATGGAATTATTGCAAATAAATTTATAAATAATTTGTAAATAATTAAATTTTTGTGAAATATTTGTTATTTATAAAAATAATAAAAGGTTTGCTTAGAATTTTATCAAAAAATTTTTTAATTAATTCATTTCTTTTGGAAAATTTTATTAAAATAGTAGATATTGAAAATCATTGAATGGAGGGGAATTTTAAAAAAAAAATTGAATTTGTTAAAATGAATTTCATTAAAATTTTTGAAAATAATTGAATTTTGGAGAAAAATTTTAATATTTATAAAGATAATTGAAATTTTTACGATAATTTTTTTAAACTTTTGACCATAATTAAATTTTTGCGAAGAATTTTATTATTTTTGTAAGTAATTGAATTCTTCAGACGAATTTTTGAATAATATTTCTTTTTAAATACCTAATTGAATTCTTTTGTGAAATTTTATTGAAATAGTAGATATTGAAAATAATTGAATTTTTATAAATTATAGAAATTAATGAAATTTCTACGAAGAATTTTATTAAAATTATTTTGAAAATAAATTGAATTGTTAAAAAGAATTTGATGAAAATTTTTGAAAATAATTGAATTCTTTCAAGAAATTGAATTAAAAATGTATTGACAATAATACTGAAATTCTAATAAATAAATTATAGGAAGGCTTTTTAAAATAATTGAATTTCTTTGATGAATTTTAATAAAATTTTGACGAGTAATTACATTTTTCGAGAAATTCCATTAAAATTGTATTAAAAATAATTGAAATTCTGCGATGAGTTATATTATTTATGAAAATAATTGTATTATTGCGAAGACAACTCTTTTAAAATCGAATGTAAGAAAAATTAGAATAAATTAGATTTCAAGAATAAGCACAAGAACTTTAGAAAACAATAATTTTCCAGGATTCCAATCAAAATTCCCCGACTTTTCCAGGTTTTTTTAAAGTTTATAAAATTCCCTGACATTTCCAGGTTTTCCAGATTTCCAGGTTGTGTGTCAACCCTGATGTAAATATTTAGTTGATAATAATAATTAATTTAATTAATTTAGTTGATATAATAATAAAGTATTTAGTTGATATATTTTTAAATTTTCGATCAAATTATGTAATTTAATAATTATTCTATACATTAATTAATTGTTTTTAGCAGATGCAATTAGACTAAATGAATATAGTTGAATATTACTTTTATTAAATTTGCAATTTCAAAAAAATGTGAAATAAAATTGACACATTTCGATAGAATTTGATGGGATTTTGACACAAAACTAAAGTGACAGCCAACAAGTTCCACATTAGTCGAAAGATAATGATGAAATCAGGTCGTGCCGCGCTCTCCTCGCCGAGTAGAAAGATCCTTCGTGGAAGCGAGTTGAATGAGTGTTTTTTCGTGTCCATCAATTCATCATAGAATGTGTAGCTACTGGAATTTAGCTGTGGAAAAGATTAGTCGATACCGTGATGTGTGGTCCATTGGCATTGTTATCTATCTGTATATATATGTATATAGTTATAGTTTTGCGAAGGGAATTTCCCCCCCGAGAGCAGTTATATATATATATATATATATATATTTTTGAAGGACCACCGAAGTCCGAGTAGCGAATTAAATAATGGCTATAGAGTGAATGTCAGGAAGGAGAATCCCAGGAGTCTGAGAAACGCGAACAAAAGATTTTAGTGACAATGAACTTTTAGTTAATGGCCTCATCTTTGCTCGTTGGTTTTAGAGTTAGCGGTCTATTTCATCCTTTCCAAGCAGTCGTAACACAAGTAGCTTTTGCTCGCGATTGGAATTTTTCTTTAAATATTTCTAATGATTTGTTCTCAAATGCAAAAAAAAAGAAAGAAGGGAAAAAATTGACAGCCATTAAACGATCTGCATTCCTTTGCAAGTGAATATGATGAAAAATATTTCTTTATTTTTTGTTTACATTATTTCTATTTTGACTTTCGTTTTCACTTTTACTTTCATTTTCATTTTCATTTTCAAAAGTTTTTATTTTCATTTTCTCTTCAACAGATTTTTATTTTTCCTTTCATTTTCACTTTGACAGAATTTTATTTCCCCTTTTTATTTTCACATTCCCAGATTTTTTTCTCACTTTTTTTTAATCAAACTGAAGAGAAAACAAATTTAATAAAAAAGTAAATTAGAAAATCAAAAGTAGCACTTTCAGAAAAAAATATTGCGAAAAATGTTGATATTTTCTTATCCACAGCGGAAGAAAAGGAAAGTGATGATAGAGGGGATTTGGAGAAGAATATGTGTTTATAATTAGTTGGAACGGTAGCGAAGAAGGATGCTGAAGGTATAATATTGAAGAAAAAAGAAATGAGAATATGAGATGGAGAAGTTGGGAGGCTGAGATGAAATGTAATTTGTAAGTAGTAGCTACCGGCCTGTCAGGTGTTGCCAATGGGGGGCTCATTCACAGCGGGGTACTCGTCTGACCTTAAGACTCGTTTATTCAATGCCCCCTAACGTTTTCAACGACAGGGCACGCGGGTTATCTCTCAATGTTTTTCTCTTTCTTAAAAAAAAACAAAAAAAAAACCTTTATTTCCCTTTTTAAATCATTTCTCTCCATTTGCAAATAATTTGGTACTCTATAAATTTTAATCAGTTAAAAACAACTGATTTAGAAGCAAAAAGTCACTACTTCAAATATTAATTAGTTAAAAATAAGTTAATTCAATTAATTTCGTAAATATTACAATTCTTTTCAGAAATTCAATTATATTCATAAATAACTTAATTCTATATAGGAATTTGGTTTTTTAATTTACAAAAATTTTATGTTTCTTGATAACGACAAAATTGTTTTGCAATTTTTTATCTCTATTTGCAATTTCACAAAATAATTCCAGGAATAAATAATAAATAAAAAAAGAAAAAAATTTTTTGGTAACAAAATTGTAATTTTTACAAAACAAAAAAATGTTATTTTCAAGAAGAAAATTTCTCATTTAAAAATGTTTAAAGATAAATAAATTGATACTAGTGAATAGGAACAGAGTCAGGGTTGGACCACCTGTTGAACTTTGTTTATAAATTTAAAAAAAATAAATTTCAGGCAATTGAGTAATTTTGTTTGCACAAAGGGTCCAACCTTGACTAAAAGTACCATTTTCGAATTGCGCAACCAGACACGTTTCGGATTTCGACTTTTCACAATATTACTTACATAAATAATTCTTCAAAAGAATTCAATTATTAAAGATAAATAATCAAATTATTCCCAAAAATTCAATTATTTTGAGGCATAAAATTTTTGCAAAATTCAATTTATTATTTTCATAAATAACAATATTTATCACAAGAATTCAATTATTTTCAAAAAATAATAATAAAATACCATTCAGACATTCAATTCTTGTCAAAAATTTTAATGGAATTCTTTGTAAAATTTAATTGTTTTTAAAAACTTTTCACAATTCAATGATTTTCAGTATATCTACTATTTTCATAAGATTTCCAAACAGAATTCACATATTTAAAAAATTTCTTTGAAAAATCTTCGTAAGAATTCAATTTTTTTTTATTAATAATGAAGAATTTGCATAAAATTAGTCGAAAAAAATTTATTATTTAAAAATTTAAATAAAATTTTTTCTAATAATTCAATTATTTACATAAATAATTCTTCAAAATAATTCCCAAAAATTCAATTATTTTGAGGCATTTTAATAAAATTCTTTGCAAAATTCAATTGAATTTCAATTTTTTTAATTTTTTTAATTTTTTTTTTTAATTTTAATTACTTTTATAAATAACAATATTCATCACAAGAATTTAATTATTTTTCAAAGTAATCAATTTCTTCTTGGAAATTCAATTATTTTCGAAAGAATTTGAATAAAATTAAGACAGATAAAATAATAAAATTTATAATAATAAAATTGTTCTCGTGAATTCAATTGTTTTCATAAATATTAAAATACTAGTTAGAAATTCAATTATTCTCAAAAATTTTAATAGAATTCATTGTAAAATTCAATTATTTAAAAAAAATTTTCGCAATTCAATGGTTTTCAATATTGAATATTTTCATAAAATTTAACAAAACAAAATTCAAATATTTTAAATTTTTTTGTAAAAATCTTCGTAGGAATTCATTTCTTTTCAAAGATTAAAAAAATTTCTGAGAAATTTAATTATTTGAATTATTTTAATATTTAAATTCTTTCATGAATAATAAAATTCGTTGCAGAAATTCAATTTATTAGCAGGATGAGGGAGAAGTAAATATTGTTGATGAAAATTAGAAAAAAGTCAGGAAAATAAAATGTGGAATGGAATTTTGGTCAGTTTTGTAAAGTGTCTATAAAACGAGTTAATAGTTTATTTTTATGAAACGACTTTTTGCTACTTTTTTAAAATTAATTATCGAATGCGAAGTCTGTAGTTTCAAAAATTTATTTTAAAATATCATTTTACACAATAAACAGTAATATTTTATTTATTTCATTTTTTTAGAGTTTCTTTCTTTCTTTCTTTCTTTCAAGATAGAGAGAGAGCGAGATCTAATCGAAAAATATTGTTTTCTCATATGTGCAATAGTAATGATGACCATAATCAAATTTAGAGACACAATCTTCTGTAAATTAAAAAAACAAATTTAATTTTACAATTTATTCACTTTTTTTTATCCAATGAGCATAAAAATGTCGCTCTTAGATAGCTGACAACAGGGCGTAAAGTTATTTATATTTGCCCGACCGTATAAAAAAAAATTTTTAATTTAAAAAAAAATGAAAAAAAATTATTGAAAAAAAAAGAAAAAAAATGAAGGTTTCTGAATGTCACTGACTAACTTTTACTCCCTGTCGTCTGCTATCTGAAATCGCCACTTTTGTAAATTTGAAATAAAAAAATAAGCAACTCAGAAACAATTGTCTATTTTTGTTTCTTTATTTATTAATTATTTAAGTTTTTATAAAAACGATACATACTCTTTGCATTATCTTTTTTTTATGATAAATTTCCGGATTCCCTTTACAAGCGTAAGCTACAACTCTCTTTTTAGTTCTAAAAATTAAACTTGTTTTCGTTTTGAATATTGTACTAATACAGTGCTCTGAAATAATTTTTTTGGAATTACAGTGGAACCTCGATTATCCGAACCTCTGTTATCCGAAACCTCTATTATCCGAACCGAAAATCATTTTATCCGAATTTCTATTATCCGAACTTTTTTTTGGCTATCCGAATTTTAAAATTTATTTTCTCTATTTATTTTATTACTTATGTTTGTTTATGCCAAAAAAGTCTTAAAAAAATCATATATTGTGTTTTATTAATATATTATTATAAATTAATATATATACTTATATATCTTTGAAAAATGTATTAAATTAAATATGTACATATAGTTCAACTGTCCAATTTTTTTACTTTAATTATGAAAAACATTAAAACCTCTATTATCCGAATTTTCGATTATCCGAATCAGGCCGTGCCTAGGTTAGTTCGGATAATCGAGGTTCCACTGTATATTTAAAATATTTATATTATTTTGAATTTTATGCAGATTCTAGTTGAATATAAAATTTGTAAATAAGAAAAATCACATACCTTCGGCTTCTAATCTACTTCTGTACTGTCTGAAATCACCATAATCTGATGATTGACAATTATTGATTAACACAGATAGCAGCATTAAAAAAATAGAAATCGAAAATTTCATTTTGAATTTTTTGTAGTTTTTGTAATATTGTATGGAAAGTGAAAAATTTCTTTTAATAAAACAAAATAATTTTATACGAAAATATACTTAAGTTCGTTCAATTTAGTTCACAAAATGTTGGTGAATGCGTTTAGAAATATAAGTTGCACGTTTCAGAACAATTTTCTTTATCGAAAATCATAAAAATTTGTACTGCAGCTGCAAACTATTAATTTTATTACTTGATAGTTTTTTCACGATTTTATGTTTTTTCATAGCTGTCAAGGTTCTCAGTTAAAAAATAAAATAAAAAATATAGAACTCCTGACTTTTCCCTGATTACCAGACAAAATTTCGACTTTTTCCCTGAACCCTAAATAATATTCTGATTATTATTAAATTATTTTTTACAATTTTTAAATAAAATTCTCCATTAAATGAATTATTTTTAATAATTTTTGAAAAAGTTCTTTAAGAATTTTTCAATCCATTTGTTAATAAATTCAATTTTACAAAATTTCAATTATCCATAAATTTTTCAATTAAATATATATTAGAAAATAAAAACTTGAAATAATTTTAAAGAAAAATTTAACTATTTTTCTAATAATTTAAAACAATGGGAAACATTTATCTCATGATAGACATTTAATCTTTTATTTGAACGACACAAACTGTATTTTCAGGTGCATTCGAAGCGCAAAGAAGAAAAAATAAAAAATCCATTACTATTTAATGTGAATTATTAACATTGAAGTGATCACTGAAAGATAGAGATTAAGCTTTAAGTGAATTGTCAGATCGAGCCCACTGTATGTATGTATAGTTGTATGTAGACACATGTATCACATGCTGTGCAAACACGGTCCCGTGCCTCCACCATATAAACGCTAGAATATATATTTCTTTCTTCTCCCTCTCTCTCTCTTTTTTTTTCTTTCCCAAGGGAGTAGAGGTGGTGGTGGGGGGGGGATAGTCTCTTCTACGCGGATTTGTCACCCTCATCATTTTGACGACATGGGCACGTCTCTGTTTATCCAGCTGCCGTATTTAAATGTCCCTCTAACGCGCCGTAAAATTATATGCAAAAATCCCCATAAAATATGTAGGATCTGCCCTTAATGCACCGAGAAATTGTCGCGTCGCCTGCCTATCTGCCTTCTGTGCCTTATGGGGATTATATATTTTATCGGCGCCTCTCGCGCTCACTTTAATATGCAGAATGCACGCCATTTCAGGGGGGCAATGGGGATGGATAATTCGAAATTTAACTTATCGACGTTCCATTACTGTGCGGCATTCGAAACTCAATTCACCCTTTTTCAAATGTGTTAAGAGAATATGAAATTATGTTTCCTTTCTTTTTTTTGGTTTATAATTTATTTTAATGGAAATTCTATTTTTTAAGCCCCCTCTTCTTCTAGGGGAGGGTTTATGTATAAATAGGTGTAATAAAAACTTTAGTTACGCTGTCGAATATTTTGGATGTATCAATTACAGATTAATTGGTATTGAAGCTCAGTAAGTCGTGGAGGTACAATTTTACTTTATAGGATCAATTATTTTTAATAATTTTAAATTTAAAAAAAATTTTTTTTTAATTTTTAATAATTTTTAATAAAATTAGTTTGAAGTATAAAAAGTTTAGTTGTCTCTGAGTCAAATATATACATCTTTTCTCTAAACGTAGTTTCGATATTATTGACCTTTTTTTGCAATCATCCTTTTTACGCGGAATTTTTTCAAACTGCGAAATGTACTTATTCATGGGAGGCGATCTTTTTTTTGTCTTTCTTCTATTTTTTTTCTCCTGAACATGAAAAGATGGGAAATACGATCCAGGGTATAAACAGTTACGACGATTAACGCGCACACTTGCGCTTAGGGTGAATATAAAACGAATATAAGGTTGTTTGTTCAAATCGTGCAGTTTATATTACAACAGAGGTACTTTAAGTTGTCGAGAACTTGGGATCCACTACGAGGCAATTGGTATTTTACCATGTACACCCTCACTTACATAAGTATAGGTCTAATTTCTATACTTGTAGTTGCTGTCACGCAAGAATCCACCCGCACGTGTAGGTACAGAGAGTGCTCGCAGGAGATTTGTTCCGGCATATTCTAAACGTCTTTCGAATAGGAGCACAAAAAAAAGGGAAAAAGAAAGGCGCATACTTATCAAGTGAGAAGTTTAGTAATTTCAGATAAATTATCTCTGGAAAATAGCAAATCATTTTCTTTTTCTCTTTCTTTTTGAAAATATAGAAAATTGCTCTTAAATTATATGGAAAGAAGGAATGTGGCAACTTTTTCTGTATATCACAGTAAATCGTAAGTTAAAACGTGTTGCAGATTAAATTAATACCAAAGAAGATTAAAATAGTCAATTTTGGTGTTATTTTTTACAATAAATTAAATTTCAGTTCATTAAATTTTTTATAACTATGAAACATGAAGAAATCGATGACTCCGAGTCTTCGACTCGGAGTCATCGATTTCTTCATATTTTATAATAATTAAAGATGACTAAGTAATAAAATCATTATTTTATATTATAAGAATATTATACTTTTTCCAAATTATTTTCATTACTTCAATTCAATCATTATTTTCAAAAATTTTTAACTATACAATTTTATTTTATATCAATTATTTTTAATAATTTTCGAAAAAGTTCTTTTGCAATTTTCAAATCCATTTGTTTACAATATTCAATTTTATGAAATTTCAATTATTCCCAAATTCTTTAATTAAATGAATATTAGAAAATAAAAACTTCAAATAATATAAAAGAAAATTCAATTAAACTTTTTCAAAAAAATTAATTTCAAAATTCAATTATTTCTAAAAATTCACGATTTACTGCTTTTAATATTCAATTATAATCTAAAATTTTAACTGAAATTCATTTTTAAGAAATGAAAATCAATTTTTATTAGAAAATTCTACGAGAATTCAATTATTTAAATGCAAAAGTAAATAATTTATTAAACAATTGAATGTTTCTCAAAATTCAATTCTCATAAAGAATGTTATTAACAAATTTTTAAATAATTGAATTCTTTTGTCGAATTTTATTAAAACTTGCATGAACATAATTATACTTTTTTCAAGGAATTCAATTATAATTGTGTGAAAAATAATTGAAACGCTGCGATCAGTTTTATTATTAGTAAAAATAATTGAATCCTTTGAGAAGAATTTTATTACTCTTGAAAATAATTGAATTTCTGCAATAATTTCTAACTTCTCTAAAATTAAATTTTTTTCTAGTATTTTTAACTAAAATTCTTCAATAAATCCATTATTTTTAATAATTTTTAAAAAAGTTTTTTGAGAATTTTCAAATTCATTCGTTTACAATTCAATTTTACAAAATTTCAATTATTCGCAAATTCTGCAATTAAATATATATTGAAAACTAAAAACTTGAAATAATTTCAATAAAAATTCTATTAAACTTTTAAAAAGAATCATTTTTAAATGATAAATTTTTTCTTAAAAATTAGTATGCTAAATTTTTTTGTTACCAGAAAGGATAAATTTCTTGTTTTCTTATCTATTATTTATTTCCGGAAATAATTCGTGAAATCGCAAAAGAGATAAAAAATAATAAAATAATTTTTTGCAGTTTCAAGAAACATAAAATTTTTGTAAACTAAAACAAGAGGCTGATGCTTTCCTTCATTTATTTTAGTATTTGATATAATTTTGTTTTCTTTTTTTATAACTACCAATAAGGCTTTAAGTTAAAAAAATTTTGTATTTTTATATATACCACTTATATTGTTTTAAAAAATTATGAAACCAATTAAAAAGAATTAAAAAAATTGGTTCATATTCGATAGGAATTATAAGAAATCATCTCCAATTTCAAATTCTTTAAAACGATTCAATTATTTTCAAAAAATATTCGAAATTCAATTATTTTCAATAACTATGATTTTCATAAAATTTCAAAAAGGTATTCAATTATTTACAAAAAAAATTGATAAAATTCATCTAAAATTCAATTATTTTCATAAATAATAAAATTTCCACAGGAATTCAATTCAAGAATAGCATTTTGAAAAAAATTTCGACAAAATCAATTATATTTAAGAAAATTTTTATACAATTCTTCACAATAAATTCAATTACTCTCACTAATAATAACATTTTTCATGAAAATTTAATTTCTAAAAAAATTTTTTAAACAATTCCAAGTAAGAAATTACTTATTTTCATAAACAATAAAACTCATCGAAAAATATCAATTATTTTCAATACTATTTTAAATTAATTAATTGAAAAATTCAATTATGTTTATAATTAAAGTTTTCCACAAGAATTCAATTATTTAAAATAAAACTTTTATTTAATATTTATTATATTTCGAAAAAATTAATTATTTAAAACAATGTTTATAAAATTCTTATGAAGAATTCAATAAAAAAAAATTTTATCAATAATTCAATTATTAGCATAAATAATACAAATTTCTTAGGATTTCAATTATTTTTAATACAATTTTACAGGCATTTTTAATATTTAATTATAATCTAAAATTTTGACTGAAATTCATTTTTAAAACTATTTTTATTAATAAATTCGACAAAAATTCAAATATTTAAATACCAAACAAAAAATTTATTAATTTCATGTTTCTTGAAATTAAATTCTCATAAAAAATGTTATCAACAAATTTTTTAAATCATTAAATTCTTTGGACGAATTTTAATAAAATTTTTAAGAATAATTACATTTTTCGAGGAATTCGATTAAAATTGCATTAAAAATTGAAATTCTGCAATGAGTTTTATTATTTATGAAAATAATTGAATTCCTAAAAGAATTTTATTATTTATAAAAATAATTTAATCCCTGTAGAAAAGTTATTGTTTATGAAAATAATTGAATTATTGCGAAGAAATTTATTTAAAAAATTGGTAAATAATTGAATTCCTGCTCTCTAAATCTGAATATGTGAAATTTCACTTATTGTACGTTATAAGTCGTCCTCTCGATCAATAAGTGCATATACACTTATAAATAAGTGAATTTTTCACTTATTCTGAGTGAAATTTCACTTATTATAAGTGTATATGCACTTATTGATCGAGAAGACGACTTATAACGTACAAATATGTGGATTTTCACATATTCAGATTTAGAGAGTGTAAAAATTTCTATTATTTATGAAAATAATTGAATTGTTGCGTAGAATTTTATTCACATTTTTTTTAATAATGGAATTCTTTTGGAAATTTTTATTGAAATAGTAGATATTGAAAATCATTGAATTTTAGAAAACTTTTGAAAATAATTGAAATTTTGACAAGAATTTGATTAGAATTTTGTAAAATAATAATTGAATATCAGAGAAGAATTTTATTATTTATAAAGAGAATTAAAATTTTAACAAGAATTTAAAAAAATTTTTGAACAGAATTGAATTTAGTAAATATGTTACTAAGTTAGTTAGTAAGTTAGTAACTAACTTACTAACTTACTATTCTCCCTGGAGAAGCTAAATTCGTTAAATTTTTACAAATCGTTGACTTTGGTGTTTTATTTAATGTAAAATTTCATTCATATAGTTAAAAATAACACCAAAATAGATTGGATTTCTTTTAAAATGTAAGATAATAATTGAATTAGAAAAGCAATATAGCGTGAAGTTCTAAAAATAATTGAATTTCGAAAAGGTTTCAAATTAAAATCTTCGAAAATTTGAATTTTTCATACTTTTCACTAACAATTCTGTAGAATTAATTCTTTAAAAAAAATTTAATTAAATTTTTCTTTTAAATTATTTTAAGTTTTCATTTTCTAATATATATTTAATTGAAAAAATTGTCAATAATAGAAATTTTGTAAGATTCAATTGTAAGCAAATGGATTCGAAAATTCTGAAAGAACTTTTTCAATAATTATTAAAAATAATTGATTTAATGAAAAATTTTAGTTAAAAATTGTAAAAAATAATAATAATCATCAGAATATTCTTTAGGGTTTAGGGAAAAAGTCAAATTTTTTTTCTGGACAACAGCGAAAAGTAAGGAGTTCTATATTTTTTACTTCATTTTTTAACTGAGAACCTTGATAGCTATCAAAAAACAAAATAAAAAAAAACTATCAAGTAATAAAATTAATAGTTTGCAGCTACAGTACAATTTTTTATAATTTTCGATAAAGAAAATTGTTCTTAAACGTGAAACTTATATTTCCAATCGCATTCACCAACATTTCGTGGACGAAATTGAACGAAAAAAAAGTCAACATGAAACTTTCGATTTCTGCTTTTTTATTGTTGCACTCAAAAAAAAAACTAGTAGATTTGACTACTTTTTAACTACCCTGAGTGATTCAATAGGTCCTCAACTGAATTTAAAAATTTATATTTACTACCGAAAGTAGTAAAAAGAACTAAGAATTTAGTTGATGTAATTAGATTTTGTAGTTGTTTTTGCAATTTAACTACTTTTTTTAGTTATATAAACTATTATTCTTCAACTATATTCAAAGTAGTAAAATCAACTACACAAAAATTGTTAGTAAAACTAAAAAAGTAATTAATTTGACAACTTTCAACTCAACTAGGTAATAGTAGTTAAAGATTTCGACCGAATTTTTTTCAGTGTGTTATCTGTGTTAATCAATAATTGTCAATCATCACCTAATGGTCATAATTACAGACAATACGAAAGTAGATTAGAAGCCGAAGGTATATTATTTTTCTTATTTACAAATTTTATATTCAACTGGAATGTGCATAAAATTCAAAATAATATAAATATTTTAAATATATAATTCTAAAAAAAAATTATTTCAGGGGAGTGTATTTATCCAATATTCAAAACACATAAAAGTTTATTTTCTGGAACTGAAAGGAGAGATACAGTTTATATTTGTAAAGGGAATCCGAAAAATTATCATAAGAAAAATGATATTGCAAGGAGTATGTATCGTTTTTATAAAAACTTAAATAATTAATAAATAAAGAAACAAGAATAGACAATTGTTTCCGAGTTCCTTATATTTTTTATTTCAAATTTACAAAAGTGGCGATTTCAGATAGCAGACTACAGGAAGTAAAAGTCAGTCAGTGACATTCACAAACCTTCATTTTTGCCCTAGGGTAAAAATGAACCCAATTTTTATACGGTCGGGCAAATATCAATGACTTTACGCCCTGTCGTCAGCTATCTAAGAGCAACATTTTTGTGCATATTGGATAAAAAAGTGAATAAATTGTAAAATTAAATTTCTTTTTTTGATTTACAGGAGATTGTGTCTCTAAATTTGATAATGATGATGATGATTATTATTACTATTGCACATATGAGCAAGTAAATTTTCCTCTTAGATCTCGCTCTTTCTCTTTTGAAAGAAAGAAAGAAAGAAAAACTCTAAAAAAATGAAATAAATAAAATATTACTGTATATTGTGTACAATGATATTTTAAAATAAATTTTTGAGAAACTGCAGACTTCGCATTCGATAATTAATTTTTTCTACCACACGCACCGAAAGTACACCATTTCCTACGTGTTTAGCGGGAGAAAAGTGTATGATTCCCTGCGAGCGGGAGGGAATGTACATTCCCTCCCGGCTAGTGACGTCACCGGGAGGGAATGTAACATTCCCTCCCTGTGAGGGAGGAAAAGTAACTTGCTTTCTCGGTAATATTATCAAAGTATGACCATTGATGAATCAGTTACGTGAGTTACGTCAGCTAAGTGACTTACGTAACTTACGCGAGTTACGCAAATGGTGTAGTTACGTAACTTACGTAAATGGTGTAGTTATGTTAGTCTTTCGAGTTACAAATAATAAATGATTTACGTAAGTTACGTAACTTACGTTACTTACGTTACTTACACTACTTGCGTAAACCTACGCTCTTTGGGTTAGTTTAGTTATTTTAAGCTTTTCACAAACTTTCAGTTACCACAGTTGTAACTATACCGCCCCCAGCTACAACTATACATTCAAAAGTAACAATCAAACTGCCGCGTTTGTACTTTCGGTATACGTGTGTTAGAAAAAATAGTATGTGCAACTCGGGAGGAAAATTGATTTCCACTCGTGTTTTACAGTTCTCGGCTTCGCTCGCAAGCACTCGCCTTCGGCTCGTTTGCTCGCTACGCCTCGAACTGCAAACTACACTCGTCGGAAATCATCCATTTCCCTCCCTTGATGCACAATCTACTATTAAAAAAGTAGCAAAAAGTCGTTTTATAAAAATAAACTATTAACTCGTTTTATAGACACTTTACACTGAGAGAAATGGATAGTCAGATTTTGATGTTAAAAAGATGATGTTACACGATACTATCATTATGCTACTGCCAACCATCACAGATGCTAAAAAAAATATAGTTATGCTACCCCTTACTACCAAGATGTTACTCCTGATGATATTGATGGTAACGGTGTCTATCTAGATAGCTGTCTGTATACGTAGCATTAAAGATGGTCACCCTAACCACAATTATGTTACCCACTACTATAAATTTCTCTCCGTGTACAAAACTGACAAAAATTTCATTCCACATTTTATTTTCCTGACTTTTTTCTAATTTTCATCAACAATATTTACTTCTCCCTCACCCTGCTAATAAATTGAATTTCTGCAATGAATTTTATTATTCAGTAAAGAATTTAAATATTTATAAAAATAAGTTAATTCAAGTGAAGAATTTTATAGAAATTTTAAAATGATTCATTTCTTTCGACTAATTTTATGCAAATTCTAATTTAAATAATTAAATTTCTCAGAAATTTTTTTAATCTTTGAAAAGAAATAAATTCCTACGAAGATTTTTACAAAAAAAATTTTAAATAATTGAATTCTGTTTGTAAAATTTCTATGAAAATATTAGATATTGAAAATCAGTGAATTGCGAAAAGATTTTAAAAATGATTAAATTTTATAATGAATTCTATTCAAATTTTTGAGAATAATTGAATGCCTGTGTGGTATTTTATTAAAATTTTTTTGAAAACAATTGAATTTCTAACAAGTATTTTATTATTTATGAAAACAATTGAATTCACGAGAACAATTTTATTATTATAAATTTTATTATTATTTTTTCAGTCTTAATTTTATAAGAATTTTTTTAAATAATTGAATAATCAAATTTTCGGGAATTATTTTGAAGAATTATTTATGTAAATAAATTTTTGGAAAAAATTTTATTAAAATCTAAAAGAATAATTAAAATTATTTCAAAACAATTTAATTAAAATTGAATTTAAAATAATTTATTTCTTTCGAACAATTTTATTAAAATATTCGAAAATAATTGAATTCCTGTGAAAAATTCTAATATTTTAAATAAATAATTGATTTTTGTGAGACCTTGAAATTAAATTTTTAAGAATAATTATATTACATTCTCATCAAAAATGAGAAAGTCTTGGATTTTTTTTTTTGATCAATTCCTCTAAAATTGTATTAAAAATAATTGAAATACTGCAATGAATTTTATTATTTATGAAAATAATTGAATAGTTGTAAAGAATTTTATTAAAATTTTCCAAAATAAATTGAAATCCTCAGAAGAATTTCATAAGTTATGAAAATAATTGATATATTGGGAAAAATTTTATTAAAATGTTTAAAAAGAATTGAATGTATTTATGTCTTGTTATGAATATTGTTATATATGAAAATAATTGTATTTTGCAAAGAATTTTATTATAATACTCAAAAGTAATTGAATTTTTAAGAATAATTTTGTTATTTATCGACGTAATAAATTCTGTCGAAGAATTATTTATGTAAATAATTAATTTAAATTTTTAAATAATAAATTTTTTTCCACTAATTTTATGCAAATTCTTTATTATTCATGAAAAGAATTGAATTCTTACGAAGATTTTTATAAGAAATTTCTTAAATATTTGAATTCTGTTTTAAAATTTTATGAAAATAGTAAATATTGATAATCATTGAAATGTGAAAAGTTTTTTAAAACAATTAAATTTTACAAAGAATTCTATTAAAATTTTCGACAACAATTGAATGCCTGAATGGTATTTTATTAATGTTTTTTGAAAATAATTAAATTCCTGTGATAAATATTGTTATTTATGAAAATAATTGAATTTTGCAAACAACTTTAATAAAATGCCTGAAAATAATTGAATTTTCGGGAATAATTTTATTATTCATCGACATAATTGAATTCTTTCGAAGAATTGTATTAAAATCTAAAAGAATAATTGAAGTATTGCAAAAAAATGTAATTAAAATTGTATTTTAAATAATTGACTTTTAACGAACAATTTTATTGAAACATTTAAGAATAATTGAATTCCTGTGAAAAATTCTAAAATTTTTGTAATTTAATTCTTCCAACGAATATGTAAAAAAAAATTTCGTCAGCGTAATGTTCGTAAAGTCGTTTAAAAATATAAATTTTAGAAGAATTTTGTACTTATCAGAAAACATAAAAATTTGTACTGCACCTGCAAACTTTTATTTTTATTCCCTGATAGTTGTTTTACGATTATATTATTTCCTTTTTTTTATAACTGTCTTCTTCTTTTAATCACTGAAAACAGTGTTAAAAAGAAGAAGAAAATTTTATGTGAAAAGTCGAAATCCGAAACGTGTTTGGTTGCTCAATTCGAAAATGGTACTTTTAGTCAAGGTTGGACCCTTTGTGCGAACAAAATTACTCAATTGCCTGAAATTTATATTTTTTTTAAATTTATAAACAAAGTTCAACAGGTGGTCCAACCCTGACTCTGTTCCTATTCACTAGTATCAATTTATTTATCTTTAAACATTTTTAAATGAGAAATTTTCTTCTTGAAAATAACATTTTTTTGTTTTGTAAAAATTACAATTTTGTTACCAAAAAATTTTTTTCTTTTTTTATTTATTATTTATTCCCGGAATTATTTTGTGAAATCGCAAATAGAGATAAAAAATTGTAAAACAATTTTGCGATTATCAAGAAACATAAAGTTTTTTGTAAATTAAAAAACCAAATTTCTAAAAAGAATTAAGTATATTGAATTTGTGAAAAGAATTGTAATATTTACGAAATTAATTAAATTATTGCGAAGAATTATATTAAAATTTTTTTAAATAATTAATTTTTTTCGAAATACAATAAATATTATAAAAATTTTGTTTTAAATAATTGAATTTTTCGATTAATTAATTTCAAATATGATTAAAAATAATTGAAATTCTTCGATGAGTTTTAATATTTATGAAAATAATTGAATTTTGCATGAGTTTTATCAATTTTTTTTTAAATAATTGAATTTCTTTGCGAAATTTGATGAAAATATTTGATATTGAAAATAATTGAATTTGGAATATTTTTTTGAAAATAATTGAATCGCTTTAAAGAATATGATTATAATTTCTGAGAATAGTTTTTTGATTTCTGGTATTAGCGAATTTAAAGTAGTAGAAAATCTAAAAAAAAATATGGCAATATTTAGGCAAAATTCTGTTTATTGTTGTGGCAATATTAATACACACGGTCAATATTAACACATCTACAGTACACAAATTATTCTTCATCAACATTTGACCAAATTACCCCGGCAATATTTGACTATATAATTTTCCATTTCTCACTATAATATTATGTCAATTAAATGCGTAAATAATAATAAACACGCGAACAATATATTTAATGATACTGCAAGTATTGTATATTAGAGGATTTGTGTTGACTTGATTAATCTTTCTATAAAAGTCGTATTTAGAGGAGAACTTTTGGAATTAAGATAGGGGTATAAATATATACATTTATATTGTATATCATCGCGCCCCGGCGCCCAACGTGATTCATAAATCAGGGACAAATATTCCAACGATGACAAACACAATAAGTCCCAATTTCGGTCATTTATATACGCTAGACGCCGGATAATATGACAGCGGATCCTTTGTGCACACATGGAGGGTAGTAACCCCGGACGTGGACGAGTGACGTCATTTATAAGGACACAAATCAAAGCGAAGGACGACAAGCGTTTGAAACCGTTCTGGATGGTTCCGGATACGGGGCACGTTGGATCCTCCCCAGGGATGTTGCAAGATATTCCTTTGATTTTAGATTTACGTATATGTCGCACACAAACTTCTATATGTGTACCGAGAGATATATGTATTTTTGCATTTGCATTTGGTTTTTGAGCATGTCGGAAAAGTTTGAAAATCGGAGAAACGGCAAAATTTGGTTTACTTCTGTTATACACAGAAAAAAAGACATTACTATAATAATAATCTCGAATTATAATTCAATTAGATTTTTCATTATATATTAACACAGTAAATCGTGAGGTATTAAAAAGTGTTGCTGATTAAATTAACACCAAAAAAGATTAAAATAATCAATTTTGGTCTTATTTTTTACAATGAATCAAATTTTAGTTCATTAAATTTTTTTAAAACTATAAAACATGAAGAAATCGATAACTCCGAGTCTTCGACTCGGAGTTATTGATTTCTTAATATTTTATAATAATTAAAGATGACCAAGTAATAAAATCATTATTTTATATTATAAGAATATTATACTTCTTCCAAATTATTTTCATTACCTCAATCCAATTATTATTTTGAAAAATTTTCAACTACAATTTTACTTTATAACAATTATTTTTAATAATTTTCGAAAAAGTTCTTTGGCAATTTTCAAATCCATTTGTTTACATATTCAATTTCACGAAATTTCAATTATTCCTAAATTATTTAATTAAATGCATATTAAAAAATAAAAACTTCAAATAATATAAAAGAAATTTCAATTAAACTTTTTCAAAAAAATTAATTTCAAAATTCAATTATTTCTAAAAATTCACGCTAAATTGCTTTTAATATTCAATTATAATCTAAAATTTTAACTAAAATTCATTTTTATGAAATGAAAATCAATTTTTATTAGAAAATTCTACGAGAATTTAATTATTTAAATGCAAAAGTAAATAATTTATTGAATATTTGAATGTTTCTCAAAATTCAATTCTCATAATGAATTTTATTAACAAATTGTTAAATAATTGAATTCTTTTCTCGTGGTTTATTAAAACTTGCATGAACATAATTACTTTTTTCAAGGACTTCAATTATAATTGTATGAAAAATAATTGAAACGCTGCGATCAGTTTTATTATTAGTAAAAATAATTGAATCCTTAAGAAGAATTTTATTACTCTTGAAAATAATTGAATTTCTGCTATAATTTCTAACTTCTCTAAAATTAAATTTTTTTCTAGTGTTTTTAACTAAAATTCTTCAATAAATCCATTATTTTCAATAATTTTTAAAAAAGTTCTTTGCGAATTTTCAAATTCATTCGTTTACAATTCAATTTTACAAAATTTCAATTATTCGGAAATTCTGCAATTAAATATATA